GACGAAGAACATGGCATCCGGAAAAGAGGAAAACTCGCCAACGACCTACGATATGCAGATGACACAGCCTCGTTTGCGGAACATGAAGAAGACTAAGTATGGACCGACGCATATGGAAGACGGCAGCCTTCAGTCTGGATTACAGCTGGACATAAAGACAACCCAAATCCTCACAACTGGACCCGTGGATGGGAAAAGAGAGTTGTCAACACGTCCATTTTACTTGGATCCACAATCGACGCTCATGGAAGCAAATGTCAAGAAAACCAACAATGTACTGCACTGGGTCTGTTTGAGACAAAGGAGTTCTACCAGGTGTTAAAAGGTCAAGATGTCACTTTGAGAATGAAGGCGTGCCTAACCCGGGCCGTGGTGTGTCCAGTCACCTCGTAGACATGTCAAACCTAGTCAGTGAGTAAAAAAGACTGAAAAACAGTCGATGCCTTTGGATTCCAGGGTGACAAAAAATACTGTATCTATACCACGCACTGCCAGAGAACTAAAAAAAATAAATCCATCTTGGAAGAAGTACACCTGGAAGGCTCCTTAGAAGTGAGCACGGTGAGTCTTCATCTCATGTACTCTGGACATGGGATCAAGAAGGGGGATCCCTTGGAGGATAGCAGGCTTAGCAAAGGGCAGGTGAAGAGAAGGCAGCCCCTCAGTGGGATGGATGGACACAGTGCGACAATGGGCTGTCGAACACAGCAACATTTCCTACTGTTGGACATGGGGTTGCTAAGAGCAGGATTCAACTCAAGGGCACCTAACGTCAACAACACCTATGACTCTAAGGCATTGGGCCAGCGTTGTGCAAACCTTGCTGAAGTCAATGGCAATCTCTAGTTCTGCCTTTGAGGGTTTTAGAATTCACAGCATGAGGAAGGGGCAGGGCCTGTGCCAGGCACTGTACAGTCTTCATCTGGCACCACTGTGGGCATTCACTATGCTCCCCCCAAAAGCATGGCAATTAAAGCAAATGACCTCCGAGGAATCATTAGAAGTGAGAATTGATTTGGAGAAAATGGCTCATATTCTCCTCATTGATTTCCTCTGCCCTGTGAGTCAAACCGAACCACAGGTTGCAAGTGAGTTGGGCTATTCTACTTGGCATTTCTTTCTCAGCAGCCGCCTCCTGCCGTCAGCGCCTTTCTCGTGGAGCCTCTCTCTGCTGTCATCACCACTGTCAGCTCCTCACAGTGGGTGACACCCTGACTCTAGGAGTGAGGGGATTCACACTTGGTGCACACTCTGCTGCACTGCCTCTGGGTTTTACAAGAAAGCAGAGGGCGACTGACACAAGTGAGTAGGAATCTCCTTCATCAGAAAAACCCACACAGCCCAAGAAGCAGGCTTTCGACAAACCACTCCCCCAGTATTGCTGAAAGTGCCCACTTTTTATTACTTCGAAATGGGAGATACAATCAGTCAAGAGTCATGCCTACACACACACACCAGAGCAGACTTCTCTCTCACAGACTAAGTTATCCTTTCCAAATGAACTAGAGTGTAAGATGCCAGAATGGCAGAAAGGTTAGTTGGCTATCGTGACTTAGCTTTTGGAAAAGCAGGATTTCCTGGCAGGGATCGAGGAGAGAGAGTGACTAGAACTAACTACCACACACATACAACACACACTAGACTAACCGAACTCAGACCAAGAGATTCTCAGGAGAGTCTGAGCATGGCTCAGAATCAGAAAGTGATAAGGCTCAAGGCTGGAAATGGATCACCTAGTCCAAAGTCAGCAAGGAATTCCAGACGATCCCAGAGCATCCCCAGAACAAGAGCCCATGGAGATTTTAGCTGGCATGCCTAGCGATACCCATGCCATTTCACCTGAGACTGCTTTCTGGTGGTGGAAACACAAACGGAATTTGTTTTAGAGAGGGTCATTGTAACACGGTCTTGATGGAGATGTGTCCTCCAGGTACAACTGGCATTTAGCAATCAATGTGTGTCCTCTTCAAACCCCAAAAGCCATAAAAATCCCAGCTGCACGTCACACAATCATTGGTCTCTTCCCATCAGGCTATGAAGGATACCGTCAGTGCCCTTCAAACGGCAAGCAACTTCTGACTATCCCTCATTGACCTGCTGATCTTTAACTTCTGTCTCCTCCATCAGTGCCTTCATGCTCTGCTCTGACAATGGTTAGGACCTCCTTAACTACCTCTTGCAAACCTTTTTTCCTCCTAGCAACCAGAAAAAAAGAGATTATAATGGATTAAACTAAAATACAAGTACCAACTAAAATAAACTTAGACAAGACCATTAAGTGGGAGATGCTACACGCAGATGGGAGCATAAGAGTGTTCTCAGTTTGGGACATGGGAGGAAAGGAGTGTGGATACATGTACTGTACATCGGTTACAGGTTCCACTCAGAACTGGCAAGGGGGTGTTGGTGGCTTGAGTCCACTCAGGTGCCTTGGAAGATAATCTGCCCATCAGTTCAGAAAGATCAGAGCCTTGAGAACCTTGAGTATTCTACTCATCACACATGGGGTGGTCATCGATCAGAACTGACTCCATAGCAACTGTGTGCACGCATGTGTGTGTGTGCGTGCATGCACATACATGTGCATGGGTTGGGTAAGCCTTGGAAAGCTAACTGAAAGACCTATGGTCCAAACCCCCAAGCCATTCTGTGGGATAAAGATGAGGTTATCTGCTCCTGTTAAAGATTGACAGCTTCCTTCCGATACCCTACAGGGCAGTGGTTCTCCACCTTCCTAATGCCGTGAATCTTTCATACAGTTCCTCATGTTGTGGTGACCCCCCAACCATCAAATTTCTTATTGCTACTACATCACTGTAATTTTGCTACTGTTATGAACCGGGCGACCCTGTGAAAGGGTCGTTTAACCCCCAAAGGGGGCATGACCCACAGGTTGAGAACCCCTGTTATATAGGACTGCCATGAACTGATTAACCACAGATCAGCAGTTTGAATCCACCAACCACTCTAGGGGAGAACAATGAAGCTGTCTGCTTCTGTAAAGATTAGAAGTCTCGGAAACCCAATGGGGCAGTTCTAGTCTATGCTATGGAGTCCCTGAGGCAGCATCGACTCAATGGCAATGTGTTTGGAGTTCTGAGTCCGGGGCAGTGGATTTGGGGGGTCTGTATGCCCTGGTGGCATAGTGGGTAATGCTGCAAACCAACAAGGTAGGCAGTTGGACAGTAAGACTTTCTACTCCCGGAAAGAGTTACCGTCTCAGAAACCCACATAGTTAGTTCTACTCTGTCCTATTGGGTCCCCATGAGTCAGAATTCAATAGATGGCAATAAGGTTTTGTTCGTTTGTTTATACCCATTATGCCACCAGGGACCCCATATGTGACTATATATGTATATTTCTATCATGTATGTATGGGTCCTACATATTAATGTGGCACAATGGGTTATGCATGTTGGGTTGCTAATCGCAAGGTCAGCAGTTCAAAACCACCAGCCATTCCTCTGGAGGTGGAGGCTATTTATTCCCATAAAGTTACAGTCTCAGGAAGTCCCAGGGGCAGTTCTGCCCTGACCTACAGGATCGCTAGGGGTCAGAATGAACTCCACGGCAGTGAGTTTGAGGGTGAAGGGTGACACAGTAGACTGCTAACCACAAGGCCAACAGCTGGAATCCCCAGCTGATCCGAGGGAGAGCCAGGAGGCAGTGAGCTCCTGTAATGACTTCCAGTCACGGAAACCCTAGGGAGCAGTAGTGTCTGGCGCTATAACAGGTCTTAATAAAACCCGCACAGGGAAGTGCTAATGGCGATGTGTCAGGTACAGCAAGGCAGCTGAGTCTATTCTCAAACATCTAAGGTGGCGCAGGCACACCACACTGGAGGTGCCAGAACACCAAACCATACTCTGCCACCGCGTTCATTCTGCTTCACAGCGACCCATGTCAGGCAGGGCCGAACAGCCCCTGTGGGTTTCCAAAACTCTAACTCTTTACCACAGTAGAAAGCCTCCTCTTTTTCCTTCTGAGCAGCTGGTGGTTTCAAACTGCTGACCTTGAGGTTAGCAGCCCAATGCTTAACCACACCACCAGCAGGACTCTACTGAAAGAGTGAAAGAGAACACTAAAACCCAGACACGGGCCTACTAACAGGGTTGACGCAGGGCTGCCTGGACTCCATTGGGTGTTAGGCTCTGCTTCGCTGTAGCACCTCGGATCAAGAAGTGCAGGGTGTTCTGCAGGGTGGCCCACCCGGTTTAAAGCACGAACCAGCTCAGCAGCGTGTGAAACCGAAGCTAAGGTTGAGTAGGCGAGCCAACAGAAATTTTTGGTCAAGGATTCATCTGAAACATATGGAATTAGGACCCAGAGAACCTGCTACACCATCACCTA